TTAAAAATGGAATTTTTTTACAATCCAATTATATGATTAATGAGAACTACATCTAATTCTTTTTCTCTTTTAAATGCACTGCAAGAATGAATTTTTAACCCTCCTGAAGTTATTAATTCTATTTCATTTTTATAAAGTTCCCAAATGATTATAAAGTTATATCACACGGAGTCTTACTCAAGACTCATGTCATAACAACCCAGTGAGACATTAACTTCATTTACAGAAGTTAAATTCAGAAAGTTTCCATTACAAAACTAAAGCAATGTGACTGAGTTCTTTAACTTCCATCATGGCTTTGCCCGTCACTGTGAATGACTCATTACTATTCATTGAGATCACAAGTAAAAATTTCTAGCTTTCTTCAGGGTCATAGGAGTAAGAAAGATGCTTTGGAAGGTGTAAATTGGCCTACTGTAAATAGAGGAGGAAGTGTAGGGAACTAGGACATCCCTGAAAACAAGAGGTTGGAAGAAGACATACCCCAAAAAGAGAAAACTCCAGTGACTATGAGTAAGACACAAAAAACCTGGACTGTAAGGCCCAGCTCATCCCATAGAGCAAAATGTCCATGATGCTAACTGTTCTTTTCATAAAGAGAGAAGCTACAGGGGCTTCCCCGGTGGTGCAGCGGGTTGAGTGCAGCGCTGTGAAGCTCTCTGCAGCCTCTGCAGCGAGGATTCGATTTCCGGCCAGCCAGGGAGATAACCACATGGTGCGGCAAACCTCTCCTGCCTTGCCTGCTGCTACCCTCAGCAGTGTCTTCGGTCCATCTGCCTGTTCTGCTCCCCATTCTTCCTCTGGTGAATCCTCTCACCGTCCCTCACCTCTGGCCTGTACCCCAGTTCTTGTATAAATAAAAATAAATCCTTAAAAGAGAGAGAGAGGCTATAAGTAGGGGTATTGGAGACTTTGATGCTGAAAGGCAGTAGACAAAATGACCTCATAATCGACCAGGTTTAATAGCCTAATGTTTGCCGGAAGCAGTAGAGGGCTGGATAGCTTTGTTGTGGTATTCTCTGAAATCTTGGCTTACTTTTCCCAGCAGCTTTCACAACCTTAGTCACATTTATGTCCTTTTCCTGCCTTCTAATCTTGAGTAGAGTTCAGCTATGATATCACTTCACAACTTCATTCACCCCCTGTATGCAAATGTCTCCCAAGTTCTATCACTACGGCCAGCTGTTACCTTTTGTTCTTAAGTTCCCTACACCATGGTCCTAACCTATTGCTATAACCAGTGGGAAGTAGTCTGGATATTCTTCACAAGTATGTTTGGAATTCTCCCCAAATTCCACTTCCACTAAGAAGAGGGTCTGGGAGTAGAATCTGGGAGTCTTAAAGAGGACATAGGAAAAATATTCCACATCAGTGGGGAAACTGACATCAGCATAGAGATGAGAGTGAAGCCTCTGGGAAACAGTGAAAAGGCAGGCCTGACACAGGCTGGTGTTGTTTGTGAGTAATAAGAAAGAAAAAAGCAGACTACAGACCTGGATCCTCAGAAGGAAGCAAGGGCTTTCAAGGGCAAGAGATTAGACTTGATCAAAAAGAACATGGAAAACAGATGGGCAGTAAAAATAACTTGTAATAGGAAGATTAATCAGACTATCAGGCTGTAGGAAATGAACAGGAAGAACATACCCAAACTTTAAGAAGTAGGGGAGGTGCCAACATGACAAGTCAAGAAAAAATTAATGTGTTTACTGACCTGAGTGATGGATCACAGAGGGGAAAAAAAGACAGTAAAGTCATTTTAAGTTTTGTGTATTATTCACTCCACTAAAACAATGCAGATGGAAGATGAATACCAACCATTATATTGGAATCTCTGAGGGTAGTAGCAAGTGTGTGTTTTCTACAAACTCCAAGCTCACCATAGGGGAAAAAAAAAAAAAAAAAAAACACTAGCTTACTGAGCAAAGCAGATAGATTCTGAGTTCATCACCTTTCATTTTTAGGTTTCTAGAACTTTTGAGTCAGTCAGTAGATTTAGCTGTTGCTAGGAGATATGGTAATACATACCGAAGAAGGCAGCTGCTAATGCTAACCCTACACTTCTGAACCATGGAATGTCTAACTTTGGTTCTGAACGTAAGACCAAGACTTCTGTGGAGGAGAGGGGTGACTTGGTCTGGGGCGTCACATGGAGAGGGCTTCCTTGAGTGCCCGGGACATTGACCAGACCTTGAAGAATGGGTGAATAGACCAAGACACACAGGACCAGTGAGCTGATGAAAGGGGACACAGCATTGCGCAGTAGGATTCTGAGCAGCAGAATGTGAGCACTGCTTTTAGATAGTGGAGGAGCCTTGATGACTCCCAGCCTCCGTCTGAGCTGTTCTTGTATCGAAGCATGGTGACCCTTGTTAAGGATATGGACAAGGTCATTTCACAATTACTTTATCCATTTCTCCCTTTTGGACTTGGCATTCTTCAACCCCAGAATAACTTTGTTCTTTTACACCACTTCGTAAATGCACGTTAAATTTATTCACATTAACATGCACATAACCATTTAGCTTAGTTTGGAAAACTAATAAGCCTTAAAGAAACTATTTCTTCTCATTACAGCCTATGGAATGGGAAGGTAAGAGATTTTGTTCCACTCAGTAGATAAGGAAAGGAAAGCCCAGAGAATCTAAGAGGCCACCTCAAGTTCTCAGAGTTATTATGGAACTTGAACAGTTTTCTGCTGACCTCCACCAACCACCCTAGCCTCTGCCTCTTGCTGCAGTATTTGCATTTCCACAGGGATCAGAGACTTTGCTAAAAGCATATAGCTCTAATTAAGGGTTCTGGACATTTAAAAAAAGAAAATTGGATAAGAGTCATTCTTTTCAGTAAAGCCCTGAATCACACTTACCTAAGATACTGCCTTTGCCTTCACATTACCTGCCAACTGTGTCACCAAAGGGCAAGTTAGAGATGATTGTCTAAGCTCCACTTTCCCTGTTCATGCAATGGAAATGACTATTCCATGAGGTTTTTCTGATAATCTCCTGAAAGACCACCTGTATGTAATATGTTTTGTCCCGTGGTAGATCTCAATAAACCTCATTTTCTCTTCCTCACGCCCACATTTTATCTACACACAAGCCAACCCTTGCTAAGTCAGAATCACAGACTCCCCCAGGCCACACAAAGACCCTTCTTGTCTCCTTTTTGCTTTTATTTTTTTTTTATAATCTTATTTATTTATTTATTTATTTTATTTATACAAGCACTGGGTACAGTCAGAAGCGCGGGAGGGTGAGAGAATTCACCAGAGCCAGAGCAGGGAGAAGAACCGAAGTACACTGCTGAGGGGAGCAGCAGGCGGCAGGGGAGGTCTGCACGCCATGTGGGACCCTCCTCCGGTGGCCGGGGAGCAGCCAGGGATCGAACCAGCGCTGCAGAGGCTGCGGGCAGCTTCGCAACCCAGCGCTCAACCGCTGCGCCACTGGGGAGGCCCTCCTTTTTGCTTTTGTCCTTAGCCTTCTCTCTCACCCTCAGCTCCTTGGATAGCCACACCAGTCCTTTCTCTTCTCAAATCAGCCAAGAATATTCTGTCCTTTGCACACACTGATACCTCTGCCTGAAGCCCATGTTGTCCTATTCCTGTTCCTTTGCTCCTTCTTGTGTTGGATGAGTGCTGCTCTATCTCGCCCTTTTGGGATGCCCTCCTACAGCCTCCTCACCAAATCAGGCACCATAGTCCACCAATTAAAAAAAAAGCATTCCCATGGAACTCACATCCCTGACTACTTCCTTCATTTTCTTTCCACATTTATTCACACCTCATCATTAATTAGGTTGCATTCTCTGGTTATTTCACAATTTCATAACCATATTACTAGTTTTCCAGGGCCTGAAACTTGTTCAAAACCATTTTTGGCATCCCCTGTAAGCCTAGTATACTATCTGAAAGTGCATTGTTGCTCAGTATTTTCTTGATGGATGAATGAACAGATCAATCAGCTTTTAGCATAGCCCCTTTGCACAGAGAAAATCTGCACATAGCATATTTGTAGCGACCATTGCAGCAATACAATTTCAAATCATGATCCACTGCTGTCGTTCTTCTTGGATTGCTATTTTGAGTTTCAAAAGGAAGCAAACAATCTTATAAAAGGGAGATTGGATTTATTTTTAATAAGAAAGGCTGAATTGGAAGCTTGCATTTCTCCCCCAAATTTAATAACAGCATTGGCAAATTCTCACACTCCACAACTTTATTTCATGTATGAGGGAATAAGGCTTCCAGGTGAGCTTCTGTCGTGATGTAAGAGCAAGACCCGTATCATCAAACCTATTTAAATTCACCTAGAGCCAGAAGGAGTCACTTAGCAAGGGCATCTAGTCTGAAATGACTTCAGAATCAGTCTGTTCCAGGACAAGGTAGAGGACATGAAGGGGTACATCAGTTTACTCAGAACCATTACCCTCAAATATTTGAGGTCCTGATAGTTACCACTGATAACCTCAGTAAATAAATCGCTTTTGACATTGCCTCCTTTCTCTATTCACAACCATAACAAACTAAAAATATATGTAAGTGTGACATTATTTTATGCTCCAAATGATTACTTAATGAAATGGTATATTAACTTCTACATTCACTCTGTTATTCTGAAACAGAACCTTCAATTTAATATTTGCCCAACTGGTAATCCTTCGATTTTTAGTGGTTTATTTTATCAGTATTCTTTGAACAACAAATATGCACTCACACACATAATATTATAATGTATGCTCTTTAACTTACTTTGACAATTGCCTAACAGGTTCTGTCTACTTAATATCTTCCCCCTAATTTAGTATTTAATGTTATAAGACAGACCAAGTCAAGGAAGGAGTTACGATAAATACCTGTTATATCATGAGTGTTGTCTACCATGTAATGGGGTCTGTTCTTTATCTTATAGCATCACTTAATCCCACCCCACTTGGCTTTGTGACAGTCAATAGAACCTATAGAAATAACCGCTTATCAGTCCTGTTCTCTCCCCATCTCTCAGACTGCAGAAGTCCTGAAGGTTGATGGAGGGCCATGCTATTCAAACAGCAGGCGTGGCTGAGACAGAAGCTCCTGGTCCTGGGAAGTCTTGCTGTTGGGAGTCTCCTATATCTAGTCGCCAGAGTTGGGAGCTTGGATAGGTAGGTGATTAAACGCATGCATCTGCCTATATGACTTTAAGTGTCTCTTGATTTAATTTTCTTAGGACAAGATTTTAAATCTTTCCATTTGTTTTCTTGCCTCAGAATTCCCAAGACTTTTTGCAATATTGATTTTGATTTATTGAACCTTTAAAAAAAGGATGTCCAAGTTACTCAAACCTAGGTGTTCATCAAGATCCATTTGTATTCTGCATACATTGACATTTGTTTTCAGAGAAGGGATAAAGCCTTGTGCAGGAAAAAAATGTCATTTAATGGAGCTCAAACTGGTATATGTGTATCTGATTGTTGACCTCTAGCCATAGCAAAATAGTGATGATATATTTATGCATCTTCATTTTGGAATTTATGAGTGGACAATTAATGTGCCACCGGGAGAGTTAAAATTATGTATGAGTCTGTAAAAGAGCTCATCAAGTTTGGAATCCATTGCCCTGAAAAGATGGCTGCAGGCCTGGGGAGTTTTAACTATGTTAATGAGCTCTGGATTCCTGGAGCTGAATGTACAAGGAGGCTGTCGCTTAGAGTAATTGCCCAGAAAGCAATGGAAAATCCGTGGAGAGGAAATTCACAGAGCTAGGATTTAGCTCTAAAGAGACAAACAGTTGAGAGAAACTAGGTGCACAAGTCCCAGCTGACTCAGTTGGCTTCATGTTAAGTTTTTCTGTCTGTACCACATTCAATATGATTGGAAAAGACACGGAAGTTAATCTCCGAAATGTAAGACTTCCTTCTTTGCCTGTTAGAAGTAATTTTTTTGCTAAAAAGACCTAAGTATGTTATCCATGAATTCATTTGCCATTGTCTAAGAAAATACAGACACACTTCTTTCTATTTTTTAAAAAAGATTTATTTTATTTATTTATGCATACAAGAACTAGGGTTCAGGCCAGCGGTGCAGGGTGATGAGAGGATTCACCAGAGACAGAATAGGGAACAGAACAGGTAGATTGACTGAAATACACTGCTGAGGGGAAGCAGCGAGCGAGACAGGAGAGGTCTGCTGCACCATGTGGGTTAAGCCCTCTGGAGGGGGATCAAATTCATGCTGCAGTGGCTTCCTGGCTGCCAATAGCTTCATGGTGCTAATACTTAACCCCTGCACCACCAGGAAGGCCCTACAGACACACTTTAAAATGAAAATGCCAGGCCTCCCCTGGTGGCGCCTGCGGTTGAGAGCCGTGCTGTGATGCTGTCCATAGCCTCTGCAGTGCTGGTTTGATCCCTGCCGGCCAGCGAGGGTCCCACATGGCGCGGCAGACCTCTCCTGTCTCACCCACTGCTCCAGCAGTGTATTTCGTCAGTCTGCCTGTTCTGTGCCCCACTGTCTCTGGTGAAACCTCTCACCCTCCCGCGCATCTGGCCTGTACCCCGGTTCTTGTATAAAATAAATAAATAAATATTTAATAAATAAATAAATAAATATAAATAAATAAATAAATGACTGAATGAAAAGGTCTTCCTTAAAGTTTTTTCTTTTTCTAATCTCTATATCTTATCACTCAGATAATTCAACAAATAATGTGTCAGTGGTTCTTGTCTTTCTTAAACCAGTGTCAATTTTGACAATAAAGTAAACTTCACTGCTTCTTCCCAATTCACATTCCTGAGTAGTTCCCACTTATGGGTTGTTAACCACTACAAGAAATGGTATCATCTAGAGCTTATCACTAATGAAGATAGTTGAGATGGCACCATTGTCCTATGTCCATAATGGAAATTTTATATCAGGTTTTCTCAATTTTAATCAGTTTGAAGTCATTTGCCTTTTTATGAGTAACACATTAGTTATTTGTCATTAACACATTAGATATTTAGTTGATTTTTTTTTTTATTTTTAACCCAATCTCTAATGCTTATCAGATAGTTTTTGTGAAAAAATGGACTGCTTTCTCAAAACCTCTCACTTGAAGGTTTGAGAAGATTGCTGAAATCAGGACATTGCTTTAGTAACTAAGATCCGGCTCTGTGGATGAGGGGCTGATATTGGTTTCTTCAACTTGCTGGGGTTTTTTTTGTTTTTGTTTTTGTTTTTTGTGGGACCCTCGCCGGTGGCCAGGGAACGAACCGGCGCTGCAGAGGCAGCGGGCAGCCTCACAGCCCAGCGCTCAACCACTGCGCCACCAGGGGAGGCCCTCGACTTGCTATTTTAATCATGAGAGTAGTTTTTTCAGTCTGGGCCCATGCTCAGAATGTGCACCTCAGGAAATGAGAAACAACATGATATTTTCTTCTGTCTTGAGTTACAGAGGCCAAAAAGCAATTGTTCTGCAGGGGATGAGCTCCCCTGGTAGAAGATAAAAAGAGAATGGAAAGGAGAAATGGAAATGATCCTTTTCTAGAAGGAAAGTATTCCATTCCAGTCCAAACAGAGCAGAGGCTGTTTCAGCCACTCTGTTAGGTTTCCACAAGAGAATTGTCCTACAAAGAAGATTTGATACTCTCCTCATTTCTCCCAAAGATAGTACTAACATCTCCTTAGAAGCACAGAGGTCCATCCGTTAATTTCGGTGGATGCCTTAGGGAAGTAGGACTTCATTCTCAACCAAACCCCAGTGGAGCGAGAAGTTGAATTTGTTATATCCCAGTCAGTGTCACTAGTGAAAATATCTTTGACTGTGTGGTGTTACTACTTCTCTATCTTCCACTTAGAACTCTAGCATATTAATCCTGTTAAGAAATTTATTGACACAAGCTTCATGCTTTTCTAAAATACTGTGACAAACACTACTGTTATATTTTCATGTTTTCCACAATGACCATGAGTTGTTTCTAAAATCATAAAAAGCAAACACCATAAAAAAGCAAAATATATTTGTGTTCTTCCTTAAGCAGTATGATAGATAGCTATTCAAACAGAGTCCATTAGGCCAAGCACTTTCCCCTTAGAACTTTGGCATGACTTTGAGGTTTTGTTTTTCTCCCTTCCATTATAAACATTACAGAAGATAAGAAAGGTAAAATAGGGTCTCTTGGGAAAAGCAAGTACCAAACTCATTGCCACAAAGAGGGAGACAGAGACACTAAATTATTAAAACTGGAAGGTTTAGGTAGAGAAATTTGTTCAAAACCATTTTGACTAGTGTTGTATCCCTTAATGAGAAGAAAAAATGCCTTCTTAGATAAACTTAGAAAAATTAAAATGAATTTTAGTTGAGTTACAGACTATACTCAAAAGGAAACTATTTACTATGTATATTAATCATGACTAATTAAAGTCATTCTGATCTAATGTCACAGTAACTGTTACCTCACCTTTCTCTCTCAGAAAAGTCAAAGTAGTTGCTCCTAAAGTAGGGTAATGTTGAAATGGAAATCCTCTTCCTTTTTGGTTCTATCCACTGCAATTTTCCTTCATGAGCTCAAGTCCCTGATTTAAATGTGGTTGGCAATGAGGACCTGAGATTTCAGGCCCAGCCAAGGTCCTGTTGATTTCTGGTCCCGGGTGTGGTAGGCATTTGCTGCTAGCAGTTGGGTTTGTTCCTACATTCAACAAAGTGAAAACATAATCCTGATCTCTTTGGATAGAGAGAAGCTGAAGAAATGCAGACCCCTTCTAGCTGTCATCAAGGCCAAGGCCAGAAATTCTCATGGAATGAAAAGTTTTAGCAAGTGCCAAGATTGGAATTTATAGGTTGATGATACAAATAACCAAGGGCAAAGACTAGGATCTCTTTACAGACTATATCTCAAAGATTTTTTGAGAGCCAAATGAGTGCTGCTGATCTCAAGAAAAAATACCACCACATGAGACCCAAAAGACATGGCCTCTGAGATTTCCTCAGCCCCCAGCTGAAGATTATAAAATTTGCCTTTCACGTTTTCTAAATGATACTAACTGGTGAGCCATTAAAAGGCTATTAGTATGGCTGGTTGTCACTGTCCTATGCTGTGAACATAAGTACATGAGATAGTCAATTAAGCGCCTGGTGAATAAAAATTTTCAGGAGCACTAATAAAAAAAAATCCCATCGATTATATGGGCTCCATTTAATACAGGGTTGCCTAAAATAAAATGTCTCCAACATGTATTCATTATGGGTTGCAGCAGGTTGGGAACCATAGTCTTATTTGTTCATTTGAAGGCTTACTTTCTGGGGACCAGAAAAATGAGAAGTTGGTTGCAATGAGCCTCTTAAAGTATCTCTGTTGTTTGCAGGCTACAACCCATTTGCCCCATTGAAGGCCGATTTGGAGCCCGAGGTCAGGCTGAATTCCCTCTCCGTGCCCTGCAGTTTAAGCGTGGTCTGCTGCACGAGTTCCGAAAGGGCAACACTTCCAAGGAGCAGGTTCGCCTACATGACCTGGTTCAGCAGCTCCCGAAGGCCATCATCATTGGGGTGAGGAAAGGAGGCACAAGGGCCCTGCTTGAGATGCTGAACCTCCATCCGGCAGTGGTCAAAGCCTCTCAAGAAATCCACTTTTTTGACAATGATGAGAATTATGCCAAGGGCATTGATTGGTATAGGAAAAAGATGCCTTTTTCCTACCCTCAGCAAATCACAATTGAAAAGAGCCCAGCATATTTTATCACAGAGGAGGTTCCAGAAAGGATTTACAAAATGAACTCATCCATCAAGTTGTTGATCATTGTCAGGGAACCAACCACAAGAGCTATTTCTGATTACACTCAGGTGCTAGAGGGGAAGGAGAGGAAGAACAAAACTTATTACAAGTTTGAAAAGCTGGCGATAGACCCTAATACCTGCGAAGTGAACACCAAGTACAAGGCAGTAAGAACCAGCATATACACCAAACATCTGGAAAGGTGGTTGAAATACTTTCCAATTGAGCAATTTCACATTGTTGATGGAGATCGCCTCATCACAGAACCTCTGCCAGAGCTTCAGCTCGTGGAGAAGTTCCTAAATCTTCCCCCAAGGATAAGTCAGTACAATTTATATTTTAATGCTACCAGAGGGTTTTACTGCTTACGATTTAACATTATCTTTAATAAGTGCCTGGCGGGTAGCAAGGGACGCATTCATCCAGAGGTGGACCCCTCCGTCATAACCAAATTGCGCAAATTCTTTCACCCTTTTAATCAAAAATTTTACCAGATCACCGGGAGGACATTGAACTGGCCCTAAAGTAATGACATGCAACACCATGTGTTGTGCCTGAAGACACACATTGTCTCCTCTAGATTAAAATATGCACTTTTCCTAGACACAACTACCCAAGTCATTTTTCCATGTATACTTGTACATAGGCAGTGGGTAACCAAATATAATACCAATTCTTTTTCTACTGAAAATTTACAAAATAAAATTTGCTGTCTGCATAGTTGCATCTTTTAAGCTATTTACAAAAAAGAAAAGGTGGTGGTATCGGGGGAAAAGTGACTTCAGCCTTCTCAAAGAGTTAGTCTTCCTTTGAGTCAGAATTTGTCGCCTGCCATTTTCATCGATTTAAGCCAAAAGATTAATGTGTGAAAATATACCAATGGCTGTGAAGCTTCAGGAAGTAGAAGATTCAGTTATGCATTCTTTTCTAAGGAAAACCTGGCTCTTTAATTCAAATGGTGAATTAGTGCCATGAAAACATATAATACTATTTTCTTATTATTTGAAAAAAAGTCATATCTCATAAAATTGACATTGTTCCAAAGTTCCTGTGGTGATTTTGCACTATTGTTTTCTTCTGGACCATCATGTCACTTATAGCATGTCAATCACACATTGGAAAGTCAAGTCCTTTTACTTCCATGTTCTATGTCAACAAAGAAAAACATCATGTACATAATGTATATTGTTGTAAATACTGGTTTCACACTAAGTAATTCTATTTTGTAAACTGAATATGGCTATTTAATTTATTGTGGAAATTAAATTTATTGTGGTATTTAAAAATGGAATGGATTAAAATTACTCTATGTGCAACTATTTTTTTAATCATTTTGTTTTACGTGCCCCCTGCTGGCTCCCTAAATCGAAATTGTTTATGTGCGTTTGAGAGCGCTTGGAAAGATGTGCCTCTCTGTTGGATTTCTGTACCCTTGTGAAAAATATATTTGCGAAGTGAAGTTGAGTATATTAAAAAAAATCGCAATCATCTAGAAATCTAGTGAAATAGCCACCTCAAGACACTAGTGCTGCTCCGGAACAGCAGTTAACTTACTTGAAGTTACTGCTCTGACAGGGGGAAGAGGAGAAATATTTTCACATAATCGAGGTATAGAAGAATCACAATTTTATTTGAACCTCTAATCAGAGTCAGACCAATGGAGACATTAAATAAGATTAGAAAACTTGTATATCATCTGCACTGAAAGCTGCTGATGCTTCAAAAATGAATACTAACTCTCAGAACTCCCTCTTTGAGATGAAAATATATCAGTCTGCTCAGAAATGATCAAATTGCATAGTGTTGCTGTTACTAACATAAACATATGTTTCATACTTCCATCCAGAGAAATTAATGCTAAATTGAGTGCTTATAAGCATCAGATACACTGCATTATACTTAAATATAATTCCAAAAAAGCATGGAAAGAGGTATCAACAGCAACAAAAATGAATTTTTACAATCATGGTTACATACACAGTGGAAAACATACAGAGGGTTTTGTTCAGCATCACCTAGAGAGTGCCTGGAGAAACTGGCAAATTAAGTGTATTCCCTTTTGATTGTAATAAGTGTTGATTTTCTCCATGAGTTGTTTACCCTGTCCAGTGATTTGATGGTGAACTTTTCTAAATAAATAGCCCTTTCCCCTCTAGTGTCGGTATATATTGCTTCTCGAGCCACAGCCTTAATAATCATCTCTATTGTTTCAATTAGCACTGATGTTATTCTCTCAGCAAGAAACAAGCATGATACCAACACATGCTGACAGGCTGGCTTCTCACTCACTGCGCAAATGACTCTGGGGTGAGAGTCTCATATCTACATATCAGTCACCTCTCCCTTAATCCCTGGATAAAATCAAATATAAGAAATCTGGTATTAAATTTTCTTATGATTCAACTCTCAGCTAACCATCAGAGTAAAGTCTTTGAATACTACACTCAAGGAAATAATCATTGTGTTATTATTTTACTGTAACTATTCCTAGAGCACTATACAGCTTACATGGTTTTATACCAGGAACTGTCAAATTATGCCCTATTGGAGCACTAATGTTTCAAAAACTCAGCCTAGCTATTCCAATAGCAGAACTGAAGAATGTCATTTTTTTCCCCCAAGATTCATTGAGGGATTTTTAAAAAGCAAGCTAATGAAAAGAAAGTGATAATAATCTTTTATGTTATAATTTTTTCTTAAACGTAACAGAATTTAAAGTTCTAGTTGATGTATGGCAACTTTATATTTGCTATTTTTAGCTCAAATAAGCCAGTATTTCCTTATCATATTTAAAAAAAAAAATGTGCAGTGATTTCCAGTTGTTCTGTGTCCTAAATAGGTTTGAGAATGGGTTTAAACCTTGGAGACTCCCTACAGAGATCTAAAGCAGGAGGCCTGTGGAGGATATTCTTGGAAGGTTAGTTTTATTTCACTGAAGAAAAAAAAAAACAGCCACAGTCACTACTGATTGAGCTAAGTAGGGAGAAATAAAAATCCTATGATTTAATAGTAAGCTTCCACTGGAGGTTTTAAACCTCTTTGTTTAGAAAACTATTTGCTGTTTTCATCAAACCGGCAACAGAACTCTAGAGAAATCTTCAGCTCGTTACGATAGCTCCACAAGGGCTCTCTTTAATAAGTAACTACTTTTACATCATGAAAACTTAGCCTTCCTCCCGGAGGCTTGGTGGCATCACACAGCTTTATGAAACAGTTCTAGCTGCAAACAGAAAAACTTCATTAAGCAGTCATGAAGTTTCTGCTGGACCATAGACTGAAATTACACTATTTTGCAAGCCAAAGAATTCCAATTATAATTATACCAACAGGAACTAGAATCCCGAGAGAGACTAACTAGGGAACGTTGAGGAAAAAAGGAGGCACAAACCCGTAGACATCCCAAGTCCATCACCTACTCACCTAAAATCACTTCACATAAACCCTCAACTGATTAAGGTAAGAAATCCTGATACTGTAGTATAGGGAAAGTTTAAGACCTTACAGTCTTTAATGGATGATAAAGCAGAGACTTCTAAACACCTCATAATTACATCAGATTTTAGATCTGATGTAATGGTGATGGACCAGCAAGAATAATCAATTGACAGTTCAGTTCCCACTAAAACAGATGGAGCCTGGTGGAAGTGCTGCCTGGAATGCTGCACCTGGTGCCAGAGCCTACCCCCACCCTCCCCCCACACTTCCCCCATCCCCCTGCCCAGGACAAACTCAAAGTCCAATGGAGAGCATTACCTGGGATCTAGAAGTGTGTCACTGCAAAGAGAAGGGGGGAATCAAGGACAAGTGCAGCCCGAATACCAGCCCTGCCAAAAACATTTGCTTTGTCTAATTAGCAGTTTGCTAAATTGGATTGCCTTCATAAGCCTAATTTGAGAATTTTCAGGGATGGAAAATTTCAAATGATCATAAATAGTGTCTTCCTGTGAAGTCTTTTGTACTCTTTTTGCACACTCAGCAGCCATTTTCCACTTAGAAGACTAGTCTACAGTCTAAGCAAAAAAGAAAACTTTGCTAAACACATTCCCCCTAAAAAATGACTAAATACAGCAAAATCTTAGCAATTTAGACTAACAGGGAAAATATAGAGAATATTTTAAAGCAAACTCATTGCAATTATTCCCAAGTAGACAAAGTGCCGAACTATACTAATAATATATTGAAAAATAAATACCTAATTGTGCCTGCTTTACTAAATAAAGGCCTCTTAATTGGCATATTTTTTTCCCAAATTGGCATTACTCAACTACTTTAAAGCAGTCTGTCCTCTTAAGTAGCTTACTCAGGCCCCCTAGCATCTGTTTATCAATTTTTATAGCAAATCTTCCTTTTATAGCTAGTGCAAGTATAAAATTTTTAGGGCAAAATATGACCATTTGGTGAGGTTCTAACAAATGTGCCTTACTACACATCTCACAAAAACAATTTCTTTAAATTTTACACTTTTAAAGACCTTTTTCCAATTACATTTTATTGTACCTTTTAGGAATAAGAGAACTATTTCATAATGATTAGAAATGGATTGGGGAGTTGAAAAGGCAGAACTGAACTGATAGCAGTATGCATTTCCCATAGAAAGCACCTGATTGGTATTCCAAGAACAAGTGTCTGTTATTTAAAGGCATCTCCGTTGAAAAGCAATACCCTTTCACTCATATCAAGTAGGCAGCGGCACACTTGTTACCTATCAGGCTGGTTCCATCACTTCTGACTCTGTGAACTGTATCAGTCTACCTACCAGGTCCTGGAGAGCTGTTGGTGAAAGGATTTGTTTCTAGACAGATGTTTCATCCTCCTTCGAAAACAGTCTACCAAGAAGGTGAGTTATTCCCCTCAGATTGGTAACATTTCAAAGAGCTGGCTCACCTCCAACATTTCTAATTGCTCAAGACTGTTTTGCGTTGCTTTTTCCGTAATGGCACCTGAGAAAAATCTTTAAGGTCAACTGCAAAACTGCCTGTGTCTTTATAAGGCCACACAGAAGCTCACCTAAAGGTCTGGACATAGAGTTTAAAAGACCTTGTAACTGCTGCATGTCAGGTCATTTAAAACTAGGTCCTAGAATCAAATTTTAATATAAACTATTTGAAGTTAAGACCTCTGTCAACACCAAGTAACAATGTCACCACACCAAGCAGAATTAGTAGTATGAGTGAGTGAGTTGAAGTTCAGAAAGCCAGAGGAAGCAACTCAACCTGTAAGAATCAGGAAAGGCTTAGTGAGGTGATGCTTGAACTAAGCAAAAGAAGATCATTGCCTCTCACCCGGCAGACATGTAGGAAAAATACACTCTGAGATGAGAGAAACAATTGAACAAAGCATGAGGTATGAGTGTGCCTAGCAAATCCAGCAAAATAGATCATATGTAAGAGAAGATAATAGTAATGGAAAGCTGTAGTGGCAGGACAGGACACAGTGCAGGTTTCCTGATCCCATGCAGACCGGGTAAAAGAGTCAGAGTCCTCAGTGGCTTTTTGCAGGTCTTTTATTGGGGTTCACCAAGCATATGGCAGGCCGGGATGCTGGCAGGCCTCCCAGCCCCCAGCAAATCCTCACTCTATCTGGGCTCTCTGGTCATCTCGGCTTCTCTTCGGCTTCTGCTGCTGCTTTCTCGGCTTCTGGCGTCCCTGTGACGCCACCCTTAAAAGCACAGTCTTGGCCCAGGTGTACCCACTTCAGGTGCCCGCCATCAGGCATGCATTCAGGATCACAGGGTTCCCTCATCTATCCTGATGGCAGGAGGGCAGAAAAGCCTGATTTTTCACCTTACCCTACAAAAGCCTACCAGAACTTGTTAGGTGTTCAACTAGTCCTACCCCACCACCCAGGATGAGGGGCCCCTGCTAAGTATCCAGGCCAGACCTCCTCATTGGGCCTGCATCCAGCTGATCCTTTTTAAGTGAAGCATTTAAGAAAAGAAAGCAGGTAATGGAATTAATATTCTGAAAGTTTGCTTTTGAGCAATTGGTGCCAGAGAATCAGTTTCCCTTTCTACCCTTCTCTACACTCTTGTTCTCCCACTTCTTCGCTTCCTGGCTTCTAATTTTGTTGCAGTGAATATGATCCTATTGGCTCATTTTTCCCCCGCTCTGAGGCAAAGGTATCTTTTCAAAGTCAATTCTCTGAGTATGCTGGTCATGAAGAATTATGATGTTTTCATGCCACGGAGATCTTGCTCTAGGTATACCCATCCTGAAACTTTACGAGAGGAATGGTGTAAAGGCAGGACAGGACACAGTGCAGGTTTTCTGATCCCATGCAGACCAGGTAAAGGAGGAGTCAGAGTCCTCAGTGGTTTTTTGCAGGTTTTTTATTGGGGTTCAGCGGGTACATGGCAGGCAGGGATGTTGGGGGGCCGGGAGGCTGGCAGTCCTCCCAGCCCCCAGCAAATCTTCACTCTATCTGGGCTCTCTGGCCTTCTCTGCTTCTGCTTCGGGCTTCTTCTCTTTCGGCTTCTACTGGCGTCCCCGTGACACCGCCCTTAAAAAAGCACAGTCTTAGCACAGGTGTAACCACTTCAGGTGCCTGCCATCAGGCATGCATTCAGGATCACAAGGTTCCCTCATCTATCCTGATGGCGGGAAGGCAGAAAAGCCTGATTTTTTACCTTACCCTACAAATGGGAATGAGAAGAAAACCAAACATCACATAAGGTATAATATTTCCAAAAGTACCCAGGAAACATGTTTCATCAGAGAATTATAAGTTAAACACTGCAGGTGAAATTGTAGGAATGAATTTGTCTCTTTGCACTTGAACTTCCAATTAAGTAAGAGAATCAGAATGTGGAATGTTTAAGATCTTTTGATATGACATTGCATACTCTTAGAGAAAAATGATTGTTGGAGATACCTGTGACAAAACATGACATGGCAGGGGTGTGGAGTACAGGGGTGGGAGCTCTCCAAACTCTTGCGTCTGTGCCTTTGTCTTCAAAGGATATTCTTTGTCACTCACACCTTGCCACTGAGCCTTCCTTCAATTTAATCTTATTCTTAGCTTTGACTTCCATTTTACCTGTACCTTCATGCATAGTTAACTTTCACTGTACAACAAGCCACCCCCAAATTTATTTAGTTCATGATGCTGTTGCTTTGCAGGCAGTTCTCCATGCTTTGCCAGGCAGTTCCCCCGT